TTGGAAGGGTGAGTGGGAGTGGGAGAGGAAGAGGAAGAGGAAGAGGAAGAGTCGCATTGAGAATGGGCTGGATTTTTGCAATCCTAGAGTGTTGTTGCTTTGGCATTTTTGCGATTGCGGAGAGAGGGATAGGTTTCGTGGACATGTGAAAGTGAGAGGTGGTTGATACCAGTCCAGAGTACGGACGAGGTACGTGATTTACATTGCATGTTTCTCGGGGAGGGAGGGCAAGGGGAAGGGGATGGGATGACTGCCACATGCGTTCAATCACCTTTTTTGCGCATTTTGGGTAAAATTTTTGATTCACTCTTGATGTTCTTTTACACTGAGGAGAATAGTTGGCCTGTGATTGTTCGTTGATGTTGTCCTCCCCCCCCCCCCCCCCCCCCCCCCCGTTCGCGGGACCAGCCCGTCTCTTTTCCGCCCGGGGTTTTCCGGGTGGGGTGGGGGGTTGTTTTTTTTCTTGTCGGACGGTGTTTGTTTTTTTTTGTTTTTTGTGTTTTTGTTCCCCCCCCCCCCCCCCCCGTCCAGGTTTGGTGAGGAAGCACAGGTCTTTTTGCCGAGCTGGAGTGTTTGCCGAGGGATGGACGGATCTGCTTTTTTCCCTGAGAGAGAGTTTTGTTCATCTGTTGTTTGTTTGGATCTTGTTTTTCGATCACGTGTGTGTGGTTTTGTTGTTGCCGTGGTTAGATTTTGATGGGGGGAGAGCGGGGGGATAAGTGTATGGAGGAGGAGGGGGTGGTCGATAAAGTTTGAGGCTGTCAGGTGAGGGGTCGATCTTGGCTTGTGGTTTGTAGGAAGCCCAAAATGTTTTCCCAGAGGTACGGACACACACACACACACACACACCTATCGGCAGTCCAGTACGGAATACAGAATTCTTGGAGGAAATAAGTATTTGGGGACAAATGTAGACGCGTGAACGCCTGGTTCTAAACGTACCTAAGGTACTCTGTGCGGGTGCCCGGATCGCAAAAGACTTTTGTCGAATGGCATTGGCTTTGTGGGATACCGACGACCTTTGGATACCTTCGTTATCGGATGGATGTTTTTTTTCTTTTTGGTATCTTTGCGATCCGGATTGACAGTCTGATCTCTTCTCTGGTGGTGTGAGGGTCCATACGGGGAAACAGGCTGCGATACTTTTCGGCTTTACCCTCTGGCTGTTTCTTCATAAGAAGTACCTGATTCAATTCGACGTCCTTCTTACTAGGTAGGTATTGATGCCCGTTCCTTGACTCCCCGAGGATTTGAGGGAAAAGAGATTTGGGAATTTGGCGCGTGGCTTGCTCACCCGGCATTCTGCGGAATTCGAGGAGGGGCGCGACGCCGTCGCCGCCGCCGCCGCCGCCGCCGCACAAGGGGTAAGTAAGACTCAGGAAGAGGAGGGGAGATTTGCGCTAGATCTGCTGACAGGGCTTCATTTATCGTTCTTTTTCCTCAGTTCGGAGGCTCGTAGGGAGTTTTCATGGCTTGAGTCTGCGGTGCGGTGGTGCCCGGACGCCGCTGTGCGTTTCCATGTGTGTGTGTGTGTGTGTATGTCTTCGTTCGTCTATTTCTCTTGACTTGGGTATGCGCACCTCCGGCACATTGCCGGGTTTTTTTCCCCTCCCCCCTATACTGCGGATGAGCCTTGCGGCTTACATTGTGTCGCGGCTCCGTGTCTGCCCTGTTCTATGTCTTTGGCTAAAATATCGTGGCGTTTTTGTCCTTTGCGAGAGTGAGGGGGGGAGCGGCCGGCCGCAGAGAGGCGTTTAATTCGGGTTTCCTTTTCGTTGATTTCTCTGATACATCTGGTTTTGAGATTGCGCGGGGGGGGCAAAGGATAACAAAGGCTTGCGATTGCATTGATCCTTTTGGCTTGTGTCACGAGAAAACGGGGCTTCGATTGTTGATGGAAATGAGGCAGATGAGGAAGTACTCTCTGTAAAAAGTGTAGAGACATTGAACGGCAGAAAAGCAGACGCTGAAAGGTCATTGCTGTGGATGCTGAACCAAGTATGAGCCCAGACCACTGCATATCTCATCGTCCCAGCGGGGGAAAAAACAAGGGTCAGTCGGAGTTGCTGCGTCCTTGATGTCACGCATCCGGGGGCGGCGACGGGTTGTATCTTGCGCTGACATGTGCAAAAAGCCTGTGCTGAAGCTATCTAGAGAACTGGCGGGTTTGCCAGTGGTCGATCTACCTTCATCCTACTTCCCGTGCACCAATCGAGAAGCCGACGATACTTAGGTAACTTGCTGGCTGCTGATACGATGGTGAATTATCGATATCGCGCACGCCGAACTCTCTCTCGATACGAGTTTCCCATCCTTCAATTGAGTCGAATTCGATAGCGTGGAAGAAACGCCAATTAGAAAACTGGAAGCGTCTTTTTTCTTTCCCCCGATGCTACTCTGCCGGCTGGCGCATCATTATGCGCATGGGCGTGCTTTTTCTTTTGGGCGGTCTTGACACTACTGCAGTTGCGTCGCAGCGTTTTCGCGGTCAACTTCGCTGGAATTATTGTCGATAGGTAAAGTGCACCAGCTCTAGAGATTGAAAATTGTCCTCAAGTGGCCGAAGCGGTCTCGAACGCGTTCTGTTCAAAGATGCCCTGCGAGCATGATGCGGCTGGTAGTGTGGAATCGTTAGGTTAATCGTGTTTGATCCGCGACCACTTCCCCCGCCGCGTCTACACGGTTCTTCTATACATTCCGGCAGTTTTATGTAGGCAGGTGTATACTACCAGGTGGAAACCCCAGGTGATTGCAATCTGCTCATAATTCACGACGGGGCTAAGTTTCTCTGGTTCTTTTCTTGAATGGGCGTGGTTCTGTACCGGCTTTTTGCGCGAGGAGGGATCGTGTTACTTGGTAAATTCTGGAGAATAGGAGGTTGGAGTTTGGAGGCATGGTAAGGTGTGCGTGTAAGTAACCCCGAGTCCTTCACTGCCACTGGACTCGGCGCCTTTGTGGAGAAGGAGAAGAAGAAAAGACGAGGGAGCGCGTTTCGTTGAGACGGTTCGGCGAGTGCGCGCAAGGCCCGCGACGTAACGAGTTCCAATGAGGCTCTGGGCCCTGGGTTCACTGGCTCACGTCCACGAGTCCTCCGTCCCATCCCTTCTCTCTGCGTGACAAAATTTGGAGAAGAAGGCAATGGGATGGGGTCGGGAGTGAGTGGATTTCGTGGATGCTGAGTTAGCCACCTTGGAGGGTTTCCAGATCTAATTAGCAATTCTTAGGAACGGCTCCAAGAAACCCCACATTCTCTCCTCCTTTCTTTTTCGGTATTTAGAAAGGCCTAGCATGTCCGGGTTCTTCGTTGGAGACCATTTTCGTGGTGGTTGGGATTCTGGACCCGGCATCTAGACTGCCCGAGATGAGTATCAAGCGTCGAAAGGAGCGAAAAGTAGGCCCGAGGTAGTTTCGAGATTTGGGAAAACGCAGTAGGGCTAAAAAGCATACCGTCCTTTTGCTGTTTTTCTGACACATGGCAGACGGGCAGGGGAAGACATTGAATGCCACCCTCAATCGGAAAACTGTATTCGAGGGGCAGGTGTGACTGTGCCGGATCCGATTAAACCTTTGTCAACGTTCCGAACTATGTGACCGTGCTCGATGCCGTTGGTTGTAAGCAGCCTGCCGTCCAGTTGCCGATAATGGGAACCGGAAAGGTATGACGAGTTCCATCCAAGCTGTCTCCTGCTTGGCATAGCTGCGACTCCCGGAGGTGAACTCTATAACACTACCCATCCAAGGTATTCAAGCAGGATACTGTCAATCCGATAATGCCAAGCCCCTTCTTCCGATGTCGAGATGATGCGATTCCCCGCTTCAGATCTGGCACGTCAAAGGAAGAGATTGCCGACTGCCGGTGGATGCATGTGAGCTAAAATATGATGTTGGGTGTTGAGGCTTTGGGAACAATGCAACAGAATGGTTGGTGAGACAGGAGTGCGGAATCTCGTCCGCATCGGAACCACCTCCGGAAGGCCGGTCATCTGGGCCGGTCCATTGGATCAGACTGGATTACTAACACTTGGTGTGCGTTATGGGGACGTGACAGCTAGAGAAGAAACCACAGTAGATGCCTTGTTCTATGGTAATTCAAGCGAATAAAAAAAGATGATTTTTTTCTTAGTACGACCTACAGTGTATACCTATCCACAACCTCCGTGGATGGGTGACGAGAATATTTCGGTCCCAACTCGGTGATGGAGTAATGGAAAGGGATGGGACGGGTTGATGGCTCTTGGCCTTTTGCCTAGGACAACTATGTGGCTCACATAGTAAGTGCCGGTAAACTGACGAATACAAGCCTGCTATTCGTACTAACACCAAAGGGAGGTTTCGATGTAGGTATGCACTCAATTGGATCAGGTGCAGCGAACTCTCCGACATGCTCAGCTTGCAAGGCAAAAGTCTGGACTGTGGGTGCAACTCCATAATAAGGCCGCGGGTGGGATCGGGGTCTTCCCGGTGCCATCTTGGCTTTTTGGCTGACTGTTCAAACGTTGTATCTTTTTTTCTCTCTCAATAGTTTATTCGAATATTTTTTTTCTACTTATTCCAGTGAACCATCTCCACCTCGAAGAAGAGGGGCCGGCTTACAAAAGAGCGTCAAGGGTATGGCATCTTTGGGATGAAGTAGTGTGATTGGACACAATGATTGGCTCCATTGGCCCTCACACCCCCGGATCCGTAGGCCAGAAGCACGTGGTGGGATCTGGGGGGGACCGTGCGTGTGGCTTTTTGTGCGCGGCTCTTGGTCTTTTCACACTACCACGTGACTGCGTGAGCTGCTGGGGTATCCACCTGAGGCTGTGGTGGCTTTGCGGGGCCCGCGGCATCGCCGTTTGGCCGAAGTTTTGGAGACGGACACCTCAGGACGGAGCGCGAGCTAAGCCCCAACTTCTCGGGGTGGGGCAGAAGTGGCACGTGAGAGGGTGTGGCTTTGCGCCTGGAGCTGACGAATTCTTCTCCTCCCTCCAAATCGACCCAGACTGGGACGTCCCGCATCACGCGCGGAACAGTGAGGTAGGTACGGATAGTTCGCGGGGAAATGTCCGCACCGCGGTTCGGGGGAGGCGTAACTCGGACGGGGCGGGATCTTGGTTCCCTCTTCGGCGATGAAGAGATGGGCGGTACAACTGGTTGCCTCCTGTCGATAGCCCACGTAGTCGTTCAACGTGACTTGTATAACGATGACAAAGGTCCCTTACAATTGTGGCCGAGTTTTGCCTCGGGCCCCGTACTACCAGGCAGGGCGTGTGTCGCTGTAAGGTCAAGGTAATCAATCGTCGGGATATGCCCGAGAGAGAAAGACAGATTGAGTGAAGGCGCATGGCGGGATATGCGGAACGCCCTGTAAGCTGTAGCTGAACGGACGGGGGGTCACGATGCGCCGCATCGTGGCCTCCCCCCCTCATTCGGGGATGCGGAACCGTGATGGACGGTCACAGATTCTGCAGGGACTTTGAGTACTTTGCATCCGCACGTAGCCGCGGTAGGGCCACGATGCCTCATCAGCCACCAGCGACGGCCTACCTGGGCCTCTGGCCTTTGGGGGGCAAGGCTTACACCCCAGGCCCCGTTTACCCCTCCACGACCTCGTTGGCGAGGCAGAAACGGCGACGACAGTGAGGGGCAGACGAAGCTATCACTTTTTGCTTCCTTCTGGGCCAGCTCAATGCTTGACCCTCTCCCCGTTGCTGTGCGTATGACTCTTCTCCTCAAGCCATTGTTGATGCCCAAGCTTCAGTCTTGACTTTCCACCCCCTCCCCAGGAAACGCGGCATTTTGGTCAGTATCAATTCTCGAAATGGAGAAGAGGCCAAAATTAGTGTTGAGAAAGCCCTGAAACCCCTCACTTTTCCAATAACCCCCACCACAGAGAAGCAATGCCAGAAGAACACGTCAGATTACTAACGGCAAGGGCACACGATGACTCTTCGCCTCTAGGCTTTGGTCAAGGGTTCAGAAAAGCTAAAGAACATACGCAGTACACGCACAGAGGGAACCACCCCGCATCGTTATACTGCACGTAATGAGTTTCTCTCTCTTGAACGGGTGCTGCATCTTTGGTGGGGGGTGCTGCGCTTGGCCAGGCCACGAGATGCCCTTTTCTTCCATAGCCGAAGGGCAAGGTCCGGTATATACACCCTCGAGACAGACCGTGTAATTCTTCACCGCTCTGCCCGACGGACGAGGATGTTGATGGCGGTTAAGGCTGTTTCCGAGCTCTGTAGCTCCAGCTGCCCGCGCAGGGGGGCGGGGAAAGGATAGAGGGTGTGTAACCGCTTCTTTTCTTTGCGCCTTGCCCGCGTGGAGTTGCAGATTCCGTTGACTGGCTCTCTTGCCCTCTCTCTTGCTACTGTGGTGTATTAGCGGCGGGAGGAAAGAGGGAGGTGGTGAGTTGTCCATCATCGGTGGTCGGCCTGCCTTAGTTCGAGTTTGAGACTTAGGCGAGAAGTCGCAATTGCAACAGTAGGGTCGACGTTTTGCGTGGTGGTTGTTCAGATGTCCATCGCGTGATCCACCTCGTGCCGTTTCGAAACCGAGGACGAATTGGTGACATGAATTGGTTTGCAATTGACCATCTGTCGAATCTCGGTATCAAAATACGCTCGGTGAACAAGCAACATGCAAGGGGGTGATCTGGTTTGAGCGTGTGGTATTGAGAGTTCAGAGCCAGTTGATTAGTTTGGTGATGCGATTGCTAGAACTCAATTGGTGGCTGACGACTGCCGCACCTTTCGTTCAAGCAGCCATGCCAACCACACACGCAAAACCCGCTGCCGGGTCCGGGACTCGCTGCCGCGACGAGGCGCCGTTGACGAGATAGCCTTGGTGGCTTCAGAGCCAGCTCAAAGCTCAAGGCGAGGCACGTCGAGGATGGAGGGGCCGATGCAGAAGTAGAGCAGGCTATCGGGTGTTGCAGGACACCACTACGGATGCGACTCTAGAGGGGAAAAGCACAACAACAAGCTAGATCACGCCTTTGCTACCCCCATCCTCTCTTGGTGTTGTGCCTCGTTCTCTCTTCTCTTTGTGTGTGTGGTCATTGTGGTGTACAGGTAGCCCCTCACCACCCAAAATGCGATTGGAAAAGGACGAGAGAAACTCCACACCTCTCTTGTTGTCGTGGCAGTCAGCCGAGCGGTACGGCTTGCCTCACCGACTTTTGACGTGCATTTTGAATCTTCTTTTTCTCCTCACTGCGAACCCCCACTCGTCTTTCCCCCCTGGTTGTATCGTTGCAGCATGTTCTGCATACAGATGCAGATTGCCTAATTCGAATTCCTCATAGGGTGTGCGTGCGTGTATGTAGTTTTCCCTGCTGTCGATTGCTTCTCCAGAGCTTGAAACGGTCCAAGAAAAGGCAGGGTTATTTATGCTCAGTTCCTCAAGCGCTAAACATTTTAATAATTTTTTCATTATTCGTGGGTACCATTTTGTTATTTTTTCTTCATATTTTTCTAACCTCGTGTTTTCTTTTCCACAATTGGAGTTCGACAGACGTCAAAACGGAGTCAATTGTGGTTTCAATCTTGGGATGGAGATTCCTCATCCCGTAATGATAGACAACCCTGACGGCAAACAGAGTGAACCCCCCAGGTGGGGGGAACATGACGTTATCGTCTACCCCGGATCCGACGTCTGGACTCCAGTTCGGACCCCAGAACCACACCCCAAAATCAGTCCATTGTGAACCTCCGGGACCTCACGAGATTCGCATTTTCTTGTTTTTCCTCAACAAAGGTCCCGGGGGTTTGACTCGTTCGTCTGTTCCAGGCCATCCCGTCGGCCAAACATTGAAGGTCTGGAACTGGGACGCAAACCCCATCGGCAAGGCTGACTTGGAAGTTGACGAAATCGTGGGGCTCGGGTGACCAAGTTTTCCCCAGATTTGATCAGAGTTTGTGTCTTGAACCCCATGGTCCCTTAATTCCCCACCACCGAAAAAAGACGTCAATGACGTTTGCCCGGTTCCCATTCGCACCAAAAACATACGGGGAATCCGTGTCAGATTCCCTGACATCGATCACCATCTGACTGGATACGGTCTTCTCATCGATCAAGTCAGATCCCATAGATCCCATAGATCCCATGATCTGATAATTCCTGCTATCCACAGTCCATTTTTTAGAACTGATTTTCCGTTGGGGGTGTGGTCATTTGGAGGGGGAATAGAAGTTGGTGATGATCTATCCCAATACTGGCGCGACACCAAGCCTGTCATCGCCGATGGGGGGAAAAGGCTTGATGTCATACAACCCCATCACTATTGGAGCGTCTACCCGTCTCTCTACCAACACCCTCTTCGGGAGGGAAAGATCCAAGACATTGATTCTGCACGGCAGACGGGGAGCTCCCGTTACGCGTTGCCGGCCGGGTCCATGTCTTTTCCCCCTTGCTCTGGCGTGGTTGATATGTTTCCTTTAATGATTTCACACCTTTGTCTTCTGGCATAGGCTTCAGTGGTGGTGCTCGTTGTTGGGAATAATGACTCAGGATTGACGGTACATCAGGTACTTCGTCAGGATACTTCTCGCCATCTGTTAACGGTACAGCGCGGCTATTACTTGGAATTTTTTTTTTTTTTATTTCTCTTTCATTTTCTGAATAAACGCCCATCCGGGCTTCCATCCGTCCTTGGTTTCGAGTGTTCATGATAGCTACCCCGACGACTAGCTACCAACCACCCCAAAACGTCAAACGGCAATGGGAACTTGGCCAGGTGCTAGGGAAGTCCGAAGCGCAGGAAGCACTGGCCGACCATCACCGAGCTGTTTGTGTGACCGTGTTCAAGGTGTTCGAGGGGGAAAGGACATAACCTTAATTTCTCTGATCCCAAGTTTGCAGTTTGGTGCAGTGTGACAAGACCAGCTGCAGGGTCCTATTCAGCTCCAACAGGAAGAGAGTCCAGGCAAGCCCAAACGCCTCCTCAGAGTCCATAATATAATTTCACGACTTCCGAGCGATGAGAGTTTTGGAAACTCTGCTCAGGATGGACTCAAGCCAATGTTGGAACATCGCGGCCGCATTCGAACACTTCTGTAACTTTGATGCTTTGGTATTTGGTGGTTCAAGAATCCAAGCAAACGCGCTCCTCTCATTCGTTCGCTATGATCTTCATTATTCGCGACAATCCTCGCCGCATCGCCTTTCCCAACCGTTCGCCATAAACGGTCTTTTCCCCCGCTTGTCAACACTACCCTGCCTTCAGACAGAAGAGCGAACGGGAAAAGAATAAGCGATCTGAATGGGCTGCCGAGGGCGTCATCCTATCTCCTCTCTCTCTCTCTCTTTCCCAACCCTCTTCGTTCTGTTGTTTTAACCCAAATAATAGGTAATCAAAAGCGATAAACTTTGGATGAGATCTTGGATGATTTCTTTCAGACTTTCCACCGTCGGTCCTTCCACGGCACCATCTCGTGGAAAAACGAAAGTATTTCGGGTGACCACGCTGGCTCACGCCCAATCCGGGCCACACCTTGCTCGGTAGACCTCGGGGTTCTCTCCCCTTCGTGGTGTAGCGCGTTCCCGAAGCTTTCTGACCAGGCCTCGCCAGGGGGGGGGACTCGTAGTTATTCTCCTCACCCTCCTTTACGCCAACTGTCACCTCCCACCACCACACCTACTGTTAACTCGTTTTTATTGCCCTTTTTATTATTATTTTGTTATTCTATTTTCTTGCAGACCCATGCCGTCTGCCCTTTTCCATCTCCAACCTCCAACACCCCGCCGGAGACTAGCCACCCCCGCCGGAGAGAAGACCACGCCCCCCCCCCCCTTTCCTCCCCCAACCAACCAAGGCCACCCTACCGACAGCAATTCACCGGCTTCCCTTCCCCGGCCCCTCGTCCGGCCCCTCTTCGTAGCTTTCCGGGACTCATTTCCTGGGACGGAAGGCCTCCCCACCCACCTTCTAGAACAATTCCATCACCAGATCGTTGCACACCAACACGTGTTGGGCGGCAACCCAAAGCTTGCGCTTGCTATCAATTAGTGTTCGCATCTCCGATGACCAGAGATTGCGGTGCTTGGGGAGGTAGGTGTACGCAGTTGCGGCCCCAAGACTACCGCAGTAAGAAGCCAAGCTTTCAAGCGGGCTATCATCCCGAAAGCAGAGAGAGTCGTGCTCTTGAGGGGGAGTCATTTTGGAAAGACATTTAAACTTTCACGATCCTTGGCTGGCGTCGGCTCTTCACCCTCGACTCGACGTAGGCTCGCCGTTGCCCGAAACCGGTTGCGTCGAAGGATTCCGGTAGTATGGCTGGGAGAGGTCGTATCCACGACAGGACCTGTCATTCATCCTCCCAGTCCCTCGGGTTCAATTTGC